TAAAAAATCCTTTATTGATCCATAAAAAAGAGGACAAACAGCACACGGACTATGCTAGCTGTTAACACGTTTTACACGGTCACATGCTTAATTATAACCATAATCATAGTGACGAGCCAGGGTCTGCACCTGTATGAGGCTTGAGTTAATTGAGTGGTATCTTCTCTCTTCATTGAGGACAACTTGGGAACAACCATGCAATTTTCATGCAATTATTGCCAGTGGCTATAGCTGGTAGCAATAATTATTGCTGAGGGATGGCTCCCCCTCCCGTGTCCCCTCCCCCCATGCCAGGAGAACACAAACTACGCAAGAGGGATTCCCCATCAACACTGACTGCAACCCATGGTTGAGGAAAGAAAATCACATCGTCTATGGCCTGAAATTACAGTGAAAGTTGTCTAGGTGGAAAATAATTGCATAATGATAGTCACTAAAGTTCAGGCACAAGGCAGGGTAGTGGAAATAGTCTACAGAAAGACTTGTCCTGAAAACTGTCGTCAGCTTCAGGAGGATGATGGGAGTAAAAGCATTTCTTCAACAGACATTTGTTTTTCACTTTATCTAAGTGACTGGAGTTGTACTATAAGCTTAGTGGAATCCCACTACAATTACACAGCCTCCTAAAACTACACATTGGTGTAAAGAAAACCTTCTTCTTGCACTCACTGTAAACAGTATACATTATTGTGCATCATTGTCCAACTTCGATTTAGAAGTTGAGACCATTTTCCAGGGTCTAGAAAGCCTGGGTGGATTAACTGTTCGCCATAGATCATTCTGACCAGCTATTAGCAATTCCTTAAAAGGACATGTGAAAGAAATTTATATTGTGGAATTCTTCTCTGTGTTAAGCTTTGGAATTAGAAGACCATCTGCCAGGGAAGATCTGCACATCTTATGTTCATGCAATTATTTTAATTGCTCCTTGGTGGCACATTCTATTGTCTATGTTTTCTTCTTTTTCACCAGAAAGCTAGCTCATGTCTCATCATAGTAAATATTTCCTGTAGAGTTTTCCTTAATTGTTTAATGCATTTAGTTACAATTACACTTTACACCTATAGTGACATTGATAAATGTCTTGTGCTGTTTCACAAAAAAGCACTTCTGCTTACATTTGGAAACTGGAAAGAGAATCTGCTCTCATGAATTTTGGATTTGGCAAGATTGAAATTTTATTACAAATGAACCAGACATTTTAAACAATGTATTTGTTAGATGAGGATGTAAATTTAAGACTTATATTTTATGCAGATATTTAGAATTGTCACTGGTCATGAATCCCTTGGAAAAAAAACATCCATTGCAGAGTTGCAGCAACTATTTTTTTGTAATGAAAATCTTTCACAAAAATACAGTGTTTAAAGAATTATACTAAGTGGCATTTTAAGGGCTGATGTACACTGACATTAGATTCAAGTCAAATGTAATATATTTATCAGGTGCTATGGAGATGTTTTGGCTTGCATTTAGTTTGCCTTAGGCTCGGTGCACACTGTTGCGACCACAAAGTTGTGCAACTTGCTTGCGATTTCCTTGCAACTTGCTTGAGATTTCCTTGCATTGAGTTGCATTGATTACAATGGCACCCATTGAAATTAATGTGTTTTGGCTTGTCTTTATGTGCTGCAAGTCGCATGATAAGTAAAAGCTGTATGAACTGGGGCTTTCAGTTGCTCAAACTGTTGTTTCAAGCTGCTTTTGAAATTTAGCCATTACGTACATGCACTAGTTTTAATTTGTAATTTCAGAGTGTTTGCATTAAAAAAAAAAAAAAAATGCTGTCTTTTATCTTTTTTACTTAAATCGGATTTACTAAAAGTTTAGCAAAAGGTTTATACAATACTTTTGAGTCAGGAATCCAAAATAGATGTGCAAAAATATTTGCCTATGATTTAGCATGTGGTAAGTGCATATAAGTTATGCCTGAATTATTTATTATTGGCATTAAAATTGTTTGCATCCTTATCTTGGGACACCCCTCCAAATCATTGGATTCAGGTGTTCCAATCACCTCCATGGCTGCAGGTGTATAAAATGAAGCACCTAGTCATGCAGATTGATTCTACAAACTTTTGAGAAAAAATTGGTCACTCTCAGGAGCTCAGTGAATTCAAGCATGGTACCGTGATAGGTTGCCACCTGTGCAATAAGTCCATCCATGAAATTTCCTTGCTACTAAATATACCACGATCAACTGTAAGCGGTATAGTGGAATAACTTGACTGACTTGCACAGAGTCCTAACCCGACATCAGTGCCTTACCTCACAAATGCACTTCTGAAAGAATGGTCAAACTTTACACTTGGCACAATGTAGTCAGGCAACTATCATTCTCCTGGCAACCGACAAACCCAGACACGTCCATCGGAAATTTCATGGATGGACTTATTGCACAGGTGGCAACCTATAATGGTACCACGCTTGAATTCACTGAGCTCCTTAGAGTGGCCCATTCTTTCACAAATGTGTGTAGAAGCAATCTGCATGCCTAGGTGCTTGATTTTATACACCTGTGGCCATGGAGGTGATTTGTACACCTGAGTTCAGTTATTTAGAGGGAACCCAGGCTGGGGGTTGTGTTTCCATAGGGATTCCCTACATTCTGGGGTGCTTTAAGAGACTCTCACAGAGAAGAGCTGCTAGTCAGCACAAGTTGCATCAACCAAAGTTGACCATAGCGATTAAGATGTCATAACTTTATTGAACATGTTTTCAGTTAACATTCAACGGAATTAAATGAAGTGTATCTGTTATCGCATTGGCGCTAGCAGGAATTTGTGCTGTGGGACATGAAGTGAATGTTGTTTGAGAGATGGAATTTGGACCTGGACCAAAGTGTGCATGGGCCACACAAAAATGGCTAAACAGAAAGAGAATATTAGCCTCTTAGGTCTGTTGTCCCGTGGGAAGAAATATAATGGAGTAGACTCCAAGAAGATGGGGAACAAGGCCCCCCGAGATAAACTTTAAGACTAAACTGTGAAAGTCACTTGGGGGTTTATTTACTAAAGCTGGAGAGTCCAAAATCAGACTCCCTTCTGCATAGAAACCAATCAGCTTCCAGGTTTCATTGCCAAAGCTTCATTGAACAAGCTGAGGTTAGAAGCTGATTGGTTTCTATGCAGAAGGGAGTCTGATTTTGGACTCTCCAGCTTTAGTAAATAAACCCCTTGGTGTCTGTAGACATCAGGGTTGGCCATCTGATGCTCCTACCCAGACTGTCTACTTCATTCTGCAGAATGTATCCTGGGGAAATGACTAATTGTGTGGCATTAAAGCACCAAAAGGTGTAGGAAAGGGTCTAGACTTAGAAGATACCGTTTAATGATTTTGTTAGCTTTTTCCTCTTGGCTCTCTTAGTTTGACATCAAAGCCATTCACTCTCCAGGAATGGAACTAGACAAACTGAAATGCATTTCCAAAAAATCTGATTTAAGAAAACATAGTTTATGATGTATTTATGCCTGTAACTGATAAATATATACTAATACAGTATGCACAAATCAGAATTTTCCCTGGTTTGTGTAATGAATTTGTCTTAATTTATCAAGGTCTGAATTATCAAAAAAGTTAACCTTAGGCTTTTTTCCTGTTTTCAACGGCCCTTAATAAAACATATGTATTTTAAAATTAAACCTTTGTTCTTCTTTAAACAGTTATATCTTTTGATATTGCATTGGGTTACTGGATCTGTTTGCTAAAACAGCAGGCTGCATGTTATGCTATATACTTTATAAATAATTTAATTAAAGATAAAATGGGCTTTGTTTTCAAACTAGTTACATGTTTTATACTATACTTGTAATAAAACATACTTATACTTGGTGCATGGAAAATATAACATTCTGTGACTTTGATTCATTTTGTTTGGACAATAATGCTGCCACCTCAATTACTTGAACATCCTGACTAAAGTTGCTTTCTCTCTGGATACTATTTAAATAAGATTGAGTTTAAACTTTGTAGGCACTCAAATGAATTAAATATTACTGTTGTAGGAAATCCCATAGATTCCTTTATTACAGGCTACAATAGTTGAAACAGTTCCTCATTATGATGGCATAGTGGCCTTTGGCTGAAACCTAATTATGTTTTGGCATTTGTGCTCCTTCAGATGGTTCTGTATAGGTGAGATGGCACCTGCAAATGTTTGAAGCTGCACTAATCAGCCACAGAGAACCTGTCGAGTTCCTCAAAGGTTGGGTAGAAGTCAACTGATTTCTGTGTGTGTTTTAATAACATGTTCCCTGTATAGCAAATGCTACATTTCTGGGAATGTGATACATTTTTAAGCTTGATATGCTCTCTAGTAGCCTACTTCAACATAAAATAAATGTTTCAAATGCAAACATACCATTTAACATATATATTTGTAATATATTTATATTGGTTTGCTACAGCAATTTTACCAATGTTAACCACTTGCCTACCAGGCACTTATACCCCCTTCCTTACCAGGCCAATTTTCAGCTTTCAGCGCTGCCGCACTTTGATTGACAATTGCGCGGTCATGCAACATTGTACCCATATGAAATTTTGATCATTTTTTTCTCACAAATAGAGCTTTCTTTTGGTGGTATTTAATTGCCACTGGGCGCTTTACTTTTTGCGCTATAAATTAAAAAAAAGTGCAAAAAATTTGAAAAAAAAAAAAAAAAAGTTTATTTGTTTCTTTTATAAAATTTTTCAAACAGGTATTTTTTCTCCTTCACTGATTTGCGTTGATGAGGCGGCACTGATGGGCACTGATAGGCGGCACTGATGCGCACTGATAGGCAGCACTAAAGGGCACTGATAGGCAGTACTAATGAGGTGGCACGGATAGGCGGCACTGATAGACAGCACTAATTAGGGGTCACGGATAGGCGGCATTGATATGCAGCACTGATAGGCGGCACTGATAGGTGACACTGATGATGGGTACTGATAGACGGCACTGACTGGCATCACTTCTGGGCACTGACTGGCGGCACTGACTGGCACAACCCTGGGCACTGACTGGTGGCACTGACTGGCAGCACTGCTGGGCTGCACTGGTGGGTGGCACTGGTGGGCAGCACTGGTGGGTGGGCACAGGTGGGTGGCACTGGTGGGCACAGGTGGGTGGCACTGGTGGGCACAGGTGGGTGGGCACAGGTGGGTGGCACTGCTGGGCACATGTAGGTGGCACTTCTGGGCACAGGTAGGTGGCACTGCAGAGTGGCACAGGTGGGTGCACTGCTGGGCACAGGTGGGGGCACTGCTGGGCACAGGTGGGGGCACTGCTGGGAACGGGTGGGCGGGGCTAGTGGGCGCACTGCTGGGCGGAACTTGCGGGTGTCACTGCTGGGCACCGATCATCAGGGCACTGATCATCAGTGCCCTGATGATCGGTGCCGATCCCCGCTCTGACAACTGCTGGTTCTCGGCAGTACTTTCCTCACGATCTGACAGCGTGAGGAAAGTGCAGCCGAGAACCGGCACTTGCATTTCCCTGTGATCAGCGTGTCATTGGACACCGCTGATCACGTGGTAAAAGGCCGGTGGGATCGGCCTTTCACCACATCACGTTATCAGCTGTGTCCGTAGGACACAGCGATCACGGAGATCGCCGGGTGCGCGCCCCCTGGGGCGCGCAGGAGAGCGCGTTCTGGGAGGATGTCATATGACGTCCACTCAGAACTGGCCAGCCGCGGTGAAGCCGTCATTCGGCTATGCGCGGTCGGCAAGAGGTTAAGCATTTTGGAATTCACATATATTTTTGTGAAATACAGATATATTGGTCATTGTAAACATTTTGAACAGGTAAAATGATATTATGTATTGCTATTTCAAGACGTTAAAGTGATAAACACCAGTAATACTCAACAAAACCCTTCTGGAAGTGCCTCTCCAGTATGTTAAAGTGACAGTTCAACAGTGAAATTCAAATTTCAGATGGAATGCTAAACCAGACATGCGGTTGCTACTGGCAATGCCTTTGGATGCCCCACATTGGGTGTCATAATGTAAAACTATTCTGACTGCTCTTTAACAGATGTGGCTGAAGACTGACCTTCACTGACCTTCAGCTTCCTAGCAATTACATTATAAATGTACCAAGCCCTCTTATTTGGCACACAATGTCCCAGGTGCATTCTTTTCAGGTAGTGATTGTTTTATTTGAATGTTCAAAATGATGGGCACCAGTTAGTTTGAAGTTTTTGTAAATTTTCCTTCACATGTGCATAGTAAATATTGTACTGCTTTTCTACTCAGTCAGTCACTCACTCACTCACTCAGCAATCCCATGTGGGGGACAACTGCAGACTGCTTCCTCTAGGCCCAAATAGCACTTCATGGCAGTTGGTATATTTAAAGGGTCTTCCCAAGAGGGGAGATCTTTGCAGCCCTACAGGTTTCTAGGCCCTATGTCTTAGAACAAGACAGGAATTACACCTGAATTTTCCAGTATCGAAGTTCATTTGCAACAAAGAATTTTATACAAAACATGAGCTAAAATGTCAGATACGCTGAACAATACAGGTGACAAGCCCGTGCAGGTGATTCATTGTGCAAGGAATATAGACAAAGTTAATCCATATATGAGTTGAATCTGTGAGCTTCTGGTAAAAAACATACCATACAATTGTCATAAAGGAATGAGCATGTTAACATATAAAAAGGCGATTGCATGATGTTGTCCAATATATAATATATCATAATATATAAAAATAGCTTATAAAACTCACTTTGCATAAAATCACTGGTACATAATTGAAGCTAAGATAGGGCGGAGATGACATTGAAATGCTGTTAGAAAACTGAATGCCTAAGAGAAAAAAAGCAAAACAAGGGTTAAGGTAACAGAAGAAAGGTGAAAAGAGAGGTAGCTAAGGAAGGGGGATCACAGAGGTCACTAAAATTAAGCATGGGAAGGTGAAGGGGTTCCCCAGTTATCAAAGTTAGACCAAGCGTGGGGTGTGTCAGGGGGGGGGGGGGTAGTCCAACCAAGACTGCCTTATTGCACTTGAATTTTCACAGGGCAATAGCCCAGGAGGAAGGAGTAGGGGTTGTCACAAATATTTCCCACAAATATTTAATAATACTCCCAGTGTGCATCCACCCCCCCCCCCAAACCTTTTGATTGGCCAGGTATTATATCACACTATAAATCTCATTACAAGATTAAAAAAAAATAAATAAAAAAAAAAAAAAAAATATATATATATATATATATATATATATATATATATATATATACAGTATATATAGTACTGTGTAAAACTTATAGGCAGTTGTAAAAAAATGTAAATGGAACTCAGAAAGTAGGTTGTTCCAAACAACTTGGAGAACTAACCAAAGATTTTTTGTGGACGTAGACTGCCTCAAATCCTTCTGTCTCTTCATATATTCCCAAAAAGATTCCATGATGTTGAGATCAGGGCCCTGTGGGGTCCAAAGCATCACTTCTAGGACATCTTGTTCTTCTTTACAATGAAGATAAATTTTAAAGACATTGGCTGTACATTTGGGGTAAAATTGGGACTCAGCGAGCGCTTAATAATAAAAGCAGCTAATGCACTAAAAAGGAAACCATATTCCTTCTAAACAACAAATAAATACATATATGTGCAGCGCTAAAATTGGATACACGTAAATGACTGTATCAGCTCAAGGATAAATAAAGTGCTTATTGTTACAAGGTGCTATTAATCCGGAATAAATGTAAAGTGCTTTGTGATGACTAAATAAGTAAAGTACTATTTAACCGGAAGAGTATAATATCATGGATAGTGGTGGGTCATTAAGACAATGAATGAATAATTATAAACGTCCAAGCAAGTGGAGTAAAGAATAAATGTTCCAATAAATATCAATAATCTGGATAAAGGTGAATCTTGTAATCCCAGTAGTATGCAATCAAATATTCCGCTGATGTGCGGTGTATATTAAAAATGCACACTCACCAGATGCGCATTTTAAAAGCGCAGTATGTTAATAAATGGTAATCAGCCAGAGGTCCCCTCTATGGTAGGATGGAGTACAGCCCGGTATGGATAACCCTCCTCTGGAGTCTGGGGTGGTAAGAAGTCAGCCAGAGGTCCCCTTTAGGATAAACTGGAATAAGGCCTGATGCAGATCTTCCTCCTCTGGATACTGGGGTGGTCACCTGAGTTTCTGGGGAATTAAATACTCGGTGCAGAGCAGAAAGGGATGTTGCCCATAGTGTAGTAATTAATGCCAAGTTTTATTTAAGTAAAGGTTAAAAACATCCAGAAACAATCCATAGGTGCAGGAAATACATGCAGCTTAAAGCTTCCTAATGACTAACCAGATGGTAAGCAAAGATGGCTGCCGGGCCTCCATGGCCCGGCGGTGTGAAGTCACGGCGTGTAAGATCCTCCTTAACGCTTTTCGTACCATGTACGTTGTCAAAAGGGGTGTGCCATTGCTGCCGGATGTCAGCTGTCTTCCTTATATGGCCACAAAATTGCGCGCGCAAGTTGCCGGGCGCTACTTTGCCGGAGACCCATGGAAAATGCGCATACGCCTGAACATGGACGCCATTTTCCCATGGGTCAAATACAATTATACAGAACAAACAGCTTATCTCCCTGAATAGATGAAGGAAGCTACTCATGGGGTATCGAAGAGATTATCTTGATAATATATGCAATTTCATATTATAAGGCTGATCATATAATAAAGATCATTCATTAGTAATTATAAATAAAGGGTGGAATATAAATTCTAAAAGGAATGGCCGAATTAGTAGCTATATAATATGGATGGATAAATAAATAAATAAGGTTGGCTGTTTGTTCTGTCACATAAATAAACTCTGGTGAGTGTGCATTTTTACTATACCCCGCACATCACTGGAATATTTGATTGCATACTACTGGGATTACAAGATTCACCTTTATCCAGATTATTGATGTTTATGGAAAATTTATTCTTTATTCCACTTGCTTGGATGTTTATAACTATTCATTCATTGTCTTGATGTCATGATGGATAATTATCTGCCTGTATTTCTGAACATTGAGGACACCATTGATCCTAACCAAATCTCCAACTCCATTTACAGAAATGCAGCCACAAACGAGCAAGGAACCTCCACCATGCTTCACTGTTGCTTGCAGACACTCATTATTGTACCGCTCTCCAGCCTTTCAGTGAACAAACTGCCTCCTGCAACAGACAAATATTTTAAAATTTTGATTCATCAGTCCAGAGCATCTGCTGACATTTTTCTGCACCCAGGTTCCTATGTGCATAGTTGAGTCACTTAGCCTTGTTTCCACATTGGCGGTATGGTTTTTTGACTGCAATTCTTCCATGAAGACCTCTTCTGGCCAGATTTCCTGGGAAAGGAGATTGCTGTCCTCCACCATTTCTGTGCTGATGGCACTGCTGGACATCTGATGTTGAAGGTAAGTAAGCATGATGTGTCTTTCATCTACTGCACTACATTTCCTTGGCCAATCACTGTGTCTATGGTCCTCAGTAGAGATGAGCGAATCGAACCTGGCGAAGTGGAATTCGATTCAAATATTAGCAAACTTCGGATGCGCGAATCGAATTTTCCCCGATCGGCCCGATTTTCATCCCTTCTACAGCCGGCAAAAAGTGTCCCTGCAGAGAGCTCCGCTATTTCTGACAGTTCTCTGACAGTTCCTTCACATTTACAGCAGTTGAAACATTGTATCTATTTGTTTCCATTTAGGATACAGATGTTTTTATTCGGAAACAAATAGATACAATGTTTCAACCGCTGTAAATGTGAAGGAACTGTCAGAGAACTGTCAGAAATAGCGGAGCTCTCTGCAGATACACTTTTTGCTGCACTGGAATTCTTCTTCATCCTCATCCTACTTCTTCTCTTCTTCTTCTTCTTCTTCTTCATCCTCATCCTACTTCTTCTTCTTCTTCTTCTTCTTCTTCTTCTTCATCCTCATCCTTCTTCTTCTTCTTCATCCTCATCCCACTTCTTCTTCTTCTTCTTCTTCATCTCATCCTACTTCTTCTTCTTCATCCTCCTCATCCTACTTCTTCTTCTTCTTCTTCTTCTTCATCCTCATCCTACTTCTTCTTCTTCTTCTTCTTCTTCTTCATCCTCATCCTACTTCTTCTTCTTCTTCTTCTTCTTCTTCTCATCCTCACTTCCTTCTTCTTCTTCTTCATCTTCTTCTTCTTCTTCATCCTCATCCTTCTTCTTCTTCTTCTTCATCCTCATCCTACTTCTTCTTCTTCTTCATCCTCATCCTACTTCTTCTTCTTCTTCTTCTTCTTCATCCTCATCCTACTTCTTCTTCTTCTTCTTCTTCATCTCATCCTGCTTCTTCTTCTTCATCCTCATCCTACTTCTTCTTCTTCTTCTTCTTCTTCCTTCTTCTTCATCCTCATCCTCTTCTTCTTCTTCTTCTTCTTCATCCTCATCCTACTTCTTCTTCTTCTTCTTCTTCTTCATCCTCATCCTACTTCTTCTTCTTCTTCTTCTTC